GTCGAGGACGGTCCTTAACATTCTAACCAAACGGCTGATCACTGTGTAATGATAGCCAAGCTGTCTACCTATTGTAGGACATACCAGCGGAATTCATGCCAATAATTTGCCATCTCTGCGCCTCTGATATCCGTCTTCTTGCCATTCTTACTTAAAATGATTTTGCATTCAGAAATTCGGGACTTAAATACGGATTTGATGCACGAGAAAATAGTGCATATTGGATATGTGAGCGTTCAGGTGTGACATTTAAATCAGGCGCGTTTTTTTCCCCACGTGCAACTTGCTCCCTTCTTCACCCCCTTTAATTATGTTTGAAATTATGAACATTGCTCAACATCATGAAAATTAAACCTTATTTTCAATAAGCAATCCTGAAAAATATTTGGGGGTGCTTAACTTTTTTCCAGGTGTATATAAAAAACTTTGCGATTGTTCAACCTATTATTTATTTTTGCTATTTTCGTTGCCTACGCAGTTTTAACTATATTTATCTTTTTAAAGAATCTGTAACACAGGCATTGTAGGCCACATATGTTATTGTACTATCATGTTACAATATTATGAAATAACTGACAATTAAATCCAAACTGAATGTTTTTATACTGTTATTATGTAAGACGGTGAAACAAAAATTGACTTATTAGTTTCGTTGATGTCTTCAGTTATAAAGAAGTTATGTAAAATCTTAATTACTTAGTAGGTTCGGTTTTTATTTATTTACATGACATGATGGGTTGGAGTTTCATTAAAAAACAAACAGAGGTCCCACTCTTCCTTTGGCAAGCTTTGTTCACCAAACTTCCCCCTTCATTATAAGACATTATGAAAATAAAAATACTTTCAAGTACACCCTCAACAAATCAATAAGAATGGTGTAACTTAAAATTAAAATGGCTCATAATAGGAGCTTTTCACACACACAAATTAACAAGTGGCTTTTATATATATATATTAGACCAGCTATTTGTGGTAATAATAAACCAGTATAGACAGTAGGAGTCCAAGGTCTCCTTAATATAATCTTATCACTTAAACCTAGTCTGTGATAAGTAGAAGATTTCACAAGTCCACAAAGCTGATGTGATCTATGCAGTTAAGATTTAAATACCCATATATTCTTGCATTATTCATTTTCTGAATGCTATATATTTAATAGTTTTATATTATAAACAATAAGTTTCTGTATTTAATAAAAGAATATGAGTTCTCCCTTAACTAATAGTCACGTAACTTCATGTTTCTACGAACTTTGACAGGTACTAAGTCCTTGTTTGCAGTTGGAAAATTTGTGAATTGTACAGAAAAGTTTTCCAACATGTCCACATATTTCTTCAATAATTTGTCAGTCTATAAGCTCAATTTCAACTGTTCAAATTCAAAAATAAAGTTTTTCTGAACTATAAATGTAGACCAAGCAAAAGTATAAAAGCAGATATATATATATATATGATAATTTATGGATAATTTTTTTTTATTAGTTCAAAATTATAGATGGATAACTCAGATAGCCCTCACATAGCATTGTGCAAAATCCAACAGATAACAAATTTAAAGTCTTCTATACTTAGGTATACATTAATGGAGTTGTACAAAATTGGATAATTGGTAAAACAAAACTCACACTGTGTAGTTATGTTAAATAAATTTTCACACGAATAGGCACATATATTACAATTACGTACACACATTTGTTGTTTCAGCTAATAGTAAAAGTTGTTCAATTCTTGGAAACACTGAAACTTATTTTGTGTATTTCAGTGATGAAATACAAGCAAAGCAAAATTCTGATGAAAATACGCTTGACAAAACTGTGCAAGAAGATGAACAAGGTGGGTAAATTACTTAATCCACTTTGGTTGTTTATATACATGCTTACTTTAACTCATAAAAACTCAAAGATGCAGCTTGTAATACAAGGAACAAGTGAAGTATGTAAATTATTAAATAATTGATGAATATCCTGTAACTTTCATCACATAGTTTGTTTTTATCACCTAACTATAAACAGAATTATTCCTTCAACCCGTTTTTATCCAATTTATTTATGATGTTACGCATTATCAAAGAATGATCATACCTTGTAGTCTGTAAATAAGTACAAGTTTCATGTAACACACAGCTAAACTTTGGTTTTGTAAACATATTTAATTTCATTTAACATGTTACCAACATTTAAAAACAAATAATTTAGTAAATGTATGGTAAACATTAATGTAGAGATATGTTTTAGTTTATTAATGTAGTAAGTCTGGTATATATATCACATACTATTAACATGCACAATAACAGTTTTCATTTTACAAAAGCATGATAAGTATAGTATGACACCCTGGAAACACTCAACCATATTGTTTATTTTGTAATGCTGGTTTGTCACACTTTTGACAGAACTTTGACTGCAGCTCTTCTATTGGTATTGTTCTATAGCCTTATACAATTTTAGTTCAGATAGCATGGCTGATGGTGTGTGTGTTATGCTCCTATAGTTACATGTAAGATATGGCAATATACAAATTCTTTTCTCTTTCCAGAACATTCTGAAGAGGAGGATTTGGTAAGAGCTGAATTGCATTTTGCTAATTTAAAATAATTTCTATAATATTTTTACACATTTACCAAAATATTTATATTTTCTTATACAAAAACAATTCTTTGGAAGGTGTAATTATGGGTGTAACATAATAAATCCAATTTTATTTGCTACATATCTTATAAACATATACATAATGTAATGTTATGAGTCTATACTATTATAAATTAGGCATACAGTACCATGTGAATATCAGAACCAAACTACAAGTTTTATCATGAACTACTACAAGAATATCAGAACAAAGATACCAGTTTAATTATATATTAGTACAAGAATATCAGAACCAAGCTACCAGTATTATCATGAACTACTACAAGAATATCAAAACCATGCTACCAGTTTTATTATGTACTACTATGTGAATATCAAAACCAAACTACCAGTTTTATTATATATTACTACAAGAATATCAGAACCAAGCTACCAGCTTTATTATTTATTCTACTATGTGAATATCAAAACCAAACTACCAGCTTTATTATTTATTACTACAAGAATATCAGAACCATGCTACCAGTTTTATTATATATTACTACAAGAATATCAGAACAAAGATACCAGTTTAATTATATATTACTATGTGAATATCAAAACCAAACTACCAGTTTTATTATATATTACTACAAGAATATCAGAACCAAACTACAAGTTTTATCATGAACTACTACAAGAATATCAGAACCAAACTACAAGAATATCAGAACAAAGCTACCAGTTTTACTTTATATTATTACAAGAATATCAGAACCAAGCTACCAGTTTTATTATGTATTATTACAAGAATATCAGAACAAAGATACCAGTATTATCATGAACTACTACAAGAATATCAGAACCAAGCTACCAGTTTTATTATATATTACTACAAGAATATCAGAACCAAGCTACCAGTTTTATTATGTATTATTACAAGAATATCAGAACCATGCTACCAGTTTTATTATGTACTACTACACGAATATCAAAACCAGACTACCAGTTTTATTACGTACTACTACAAGAATACCAGAACCAAGCTACCAGTTTTATATATTACTACAAGGATACCAAAACCAAGCTACCAGTTTTATTATGTACTACTACAAGAATATTAGAACCAAGCTATCAGTTTTATTATATATTATTACAAGAATATCAGAACAAAGATACCAGTTTTATTATATATTATTACAAGAATATCAGAACCAAGCTACCAGTTTTATTATGTACTTAAGACTATTGTTTTATATAAGGATAATGTCATATTATTTACCAATCTGTTAAGAAAAATCTGGAAAAAATAGTTTCATAAATTATTTAAGTGTTGTCATGTAAGATATTAACTTAACTATTTATGCCAGATTTAACTTTATATTTGTAAATTAAAAGGATGTGTTTAAGCTTACATATAAAATGCTTCTCCCATGTTTTTATTTATATGTTGTATAACTTGGATATGACCTTTTATGTTGCTGCTGTCCTACATTTCACATTCAGAGTCTGAAATAAGAAAGTGGCTTTTTTTAAACTCATTCTTTTATATAGGAAGGAGCCAGGGTGAAGTTTGTTCATTTTGGAGTTGTTTGACGTGGTGAATACTTCCCGGATTACAACAGTAATATTCCGTCCATGGTTTTTTTCTTTTTTTATATTTTTATACAAAATGTTTGATTTTTAATAAAAAAAACAATTTACAGTATTGCTGTCTTCTTTTTTTTTCACTGGCAACCTAAGTTATCCATCACATGAGTGGCAGCTTGTGTTTTAGAATGTTAGTATTTGTCAGTAGTTGTGGGCCTGGCACGGCCTGGTGGTTAGGGTGTTGGACACACAATCTGAGGATCACAAGTTTGAATCCCCATCAACAAACATGCTTGTCCTATATGGCTACTGACTGGTTTAGCCACCTGAGTGTAAAAATTCTTAGCTTATAGAAGTACTGCCCGACCCATAATTCGATGGGACTGAAGTTGAAATAGAAAAAAAAACAATAGTTACACATATATAACCATCACTTTACAAATATAAGCTTAATAGGTAGCTATTTGAATAACTTTTTTTGAAAAAACTACATTCGTTTATCCTAAGTAGCTCTAAGTTTGTAACATTATACATCTATTTAGAATTAAATTTGATTGTTTTATTGCTCTTGGAACTGTCTCTAACTGCTATCCATGCCATTATAAGTTGTAAATCACTCGGGGAACGTGCAGCTCACATTACGCTATCTACATTACCCACGAGCTGCTCATATGCATGCCTCGTGAACCAATTTAATTATATTATTACTTATTTCACCTAATCTAGTCTTAAATAGTTTAAAAAGATCTGGAGTTTTAAATTTTAGTTACTTTTATAATAATAAATAATGATTAAACATGAAATAAAGTACTTACCCAATCTTCTTTTTTCTTGCTGTTGGATTTCAAAGAAAGTTAACCCTAATTTTTTATACTACAGATAGTAATGCACCTAATAATTTTTATTTAATTAAATAATGGACCAAAGAAAATAGACTAATAATATGCAAATAGTAAACAAATTCACTTCCCTCTCAAAATTTTACTGGTTTTTTTAACTATGCTACAAGACCCGTTACAAACTCATCTAAGTTAGTTGTTAACTTTACCACGGGAACAAATCTTGTACTGTGAGTGAAACTGACAATATTCTGTTCAGTATACAGTTGATAGATGAAAACCTTTACTTTCTATTGGTTATAGGTAATATATAATGAAACGTAAAAGAGAACTATCAATGAATTGTGAAAGAGAGGATGTGGCAGGAGGGGTTTGATTTTCTATTTGATAGCTCTTATAACCAAACAAAATTGAAGGCTATAAAACTTATGGTTTGTTTGATCAATAATGATTTTATAGAGAGTAATTTACGTTTAATTTTATACTTTTTTGAAGGGTGGTGGATAAAATAGGGTTGATGACATACTAAGACAAAATGTGTCACATGGGTCACACTGGTGGAAATTCATGATTTTTTAAAATATTGCCTTATAGAATTAAGAACTTAAAACTTGTATACTATTAAAATATGGATT